GTGAATAAACAGCAAATTATAGCTAGCATCAGTTTCACATATATAATTTTTTATTCAGTACAGTCTTTGCGGTTTCGTTAAGGTTTTTACTATTCTTTGTATTTATTCATTTATAAAAGGAAATAAATTGTTACTATATTTACTACGCTGAAAATTCTATTTTATATGAAAAATTATTTTTCGGAACAAAGTGAATTATAATTAATCATTGAATCGTAGAGAACAAACCAAAATGTAGGTGTACCGCTAAAACCTTGTGTTCCATTTAGAACACGTGGAAAGATTGAAAATATAATTGCAAACTAATATAATCATCTGAGCGCATTTTCTAGTTTACCTTTAGAAAGGTGCATTTTGCTCGAATTATTCTAGTTTAACTTCACCCTTAGTATGCCAGTGTTCTGAGAATATCTGTTGAACCACTACATCCTAGAGTTTATAGATTTACCAAACAAATTTTGATGGCATTGTGTACAATAAGTCGAACGTATTTCATTTGCGTAATCCAAGAGCAATCCACAATTGAATAGACTGATAAATATGGTTTATTGTTTATTGATTAGGGATAAATTTGAAAGAGATTATTTCCTTCACCTATCTAGGTAGCATCGTTTCAAATGCAGACACACGCGGCACGGATGAGGATGTGAAAATCTGAATCAGAAAGGCAAGACAGACCTTCATCCCTCTGAAACAAGTTTGGAAATCTGCCATAATCACCATAAACAACAAAATTCAAATCTTTAACACTACTCCTATATAGGTTAGAGACTTGGTTCGTCAAAAAAGCATTTTGAATAGGCTTCTGCAGACTTTTATCAACAGCGACCTTCACTCGACGCGAAGATCATATGACCAGAGAGAATTAGCAACAGTAAAATTTGGAAACCAATGAACAAGCCAAAACCCTGTTGCTCAACCAATGGAAATAGATAGGATACACACTTGGGAAGCCGCTAAGTGTCATCACGTGCCAGGTCGTAAAGCGGAAGCCAAGTAGGGCGCCCGATGGTGACACAAAGGAGATCATCAGAGGAGGAGACTATGGGTAATCATTGGACTTGATCAAGTTGACTGCAGATAGCAGCACAGAGTGAAGCTATGCTGTTGAAGCCCTCTGTTACCCTCAGAACCCGAGGGAACAATAATAATAGGGAGAAGTTGATAACTGCCTAAAAAGATTCGAAGATTATTAAAATCATCATTATAGATAAGCAATTTTCAATGTAACTTCAAAAAAGAAGCTAGTTATTTATTTGATACCAAACAACGTCCACGCAGTTGTTAACTCACAGATAATTATTAAAAGCTTTTCTTAACATTGCCAAAATAGATGATGATTTTAATGTCTACACGCCTTAAATTTCCCTGCTTTTTACAGCATTTTTGGAATATGTTTGTACGAATTAATTAGTGGTTTTCTGGTACTAGAATGTATATGTTAATTGAAAAGCTTGTTTTTCCATCATCGGAATTGTAGACATGGAACTGACCAACTTACTGCTGGTTTTATTACATTAGAATGCAGGGAGAAACATTTCCATTAATGATGTTTTTTCGTATTTAATAAATATTATAATACCTTGTTGAAGTGAACTGTGAAATCCACCTGATATGAATATATTTACGACATTAGAATCTCTCGACGAAATAATTTTAATTATATGAAGATAAAATCATAGCTTATAAGTGGCCGCTGCAGATGTCAGTTTTGTTTAAATATTTTATTGGAGACATTTCTGCGAAGAAAATCATTTGAGCATTAATTTCAAGCAGGTTTTATTTCCCTTATCAAACAAAATTTTCACCAACTTTTAATGAAAAATAGATTTTCAAAACAGTTACCAACAGAAGCGAAAATTTGTTCCTCACAACAATCTGTTCTCAGTGAAAAAGAGATGTTAAGCATGTATCAGTTAACTAATCAATTACTTTTACATTACAAATCCTTCACAACATTTCATGAATACTTAAACTTCATAAAGAACTGAGTCGTATTAACATTCTAGCTAAATGTTCTTAACAGAAGATAGTAACGGTTTATACGTCTGTGAGCTAAAATTTGCAAATGATTTCTCGATATCACAGGGAGTAAATAAGAAATTCAATAATGTGAAAATGTTCAGGATAAAATTAAACCATACTGAATATTGAAGCTATTTTGAGTTTTTCCTGACCCGAAGTATACCAATTTAAATGTCTTCCGTTATGCATGTTGAACAGTGCAAACTAGTGACTGAATCTTGTTTGATGACGTTTAAGTGTCAGTTATGGAGCTGTACGCAAAAGCAAGATAATTCATATATTTTGTGCATTCTTCCACATTGGCACTTCACTTAACGGCGTTTATTTTACTCATATCTGTGTCTGCAATGAAATTAGTTTTACTTATGCTAGACGACTGCAATTTTCATTTTATGATAAACTCTTTGTGCAAAGATAATAAACAGACTAATCATATCGATACAAAAGAGAGGCTAAATAAATACATCTACGAAATGGTTTAAGCTGTATCCTAATGCATCTAGTTCAAAGCTTCTCAAAATGCCGGCATATAGTAAGCTATGCTCACTTTCTTGTGCAGAATACGTTAGAAGTTTTGTTACTGTAGGCAGAAAAAGCTAACTCATTTTCTGTGTCTAAATTTGTTTATACTTCCACTGAAAGATGTCATTACCGACTGTCCTTTCATAACGGATTATATTTTTATTATATCAAATATTAAATGTTTACTCTCAGACTTTATTTTGAAGTAAATGCATATTAATGAGCAATGGTCATGTTTTTAACTATACTTGATGACGTAGTTGAAATGTAAGAATTACAGTAAACTTAAATATTTTTCGCTCTGCTCGTTATTCAGTTCATTCAAGGAGAAATGTGTTATTACTATTCTCGAACATAAACATTAGTCCAAAACATTTAATTATGTTTTCTTACTCTTATATATATCCATATATGTAGGAAGAGACATATGTTGAATTACTTGCTACTGCAGAAATTGAGGTGTGTTTGTGGGAGTGATGATTATCATTAGGTACTAATACCATACAATATGATAAACCCACGAATAAAAAACAGCGTCATGCTATGTACCATTGAATTACTGATATGAATGGCTGGATGACAGTAACATCAACCTGTAATGCTTGCTAGCCAGGTCGAAGGTCTTTTCATATGCTTTAGACCCAGCTTATCAGTAGTGCACCAGATTTGACTTAGCTCAGAGAACTAAACCAGTTCAAAACAATCTAGCAGTCAACATACTTGTTCTTCCTTCAGAATGTGTTCCACTGTTAGTTATAAACTCAAGTTAATGCCTTTCATATAATTTGTGAATATTATATGGTCCCTTCATCAGATTTTTTCATTAACTGACTATTATTCCACTCTGCACTACTAACTACAAATTCGTTTAACCAGTGGCTCTCACCAAACTAAAGGAATTGTTTGTATATCAAATATCAGATGAGAGGGTGTTTAAGGTAAAGAACACATAGGTTTACAAACAATATCAGTAAGATGAAAAAAAACGCAAAAATTAGTGAATATTTAGTGTTGTCTGACAGCAACTAGTTACATCATTTGTCAAACTATGGCATATTCTTAGTTTTTCATTTACATTAACACGTTGGCAAGATTCTGTACAAAGAGATTATGGAATTCATACAACCAAATTTCTTCAGTTTGTCTGTTATGTTAAAAAATTATAATATTCCTCCTACGTAAGACTTAAATAAAAATAGTTTTCTTAAATTAAATTGAAATGTATAAATCGCCTTTACTAAACCCTTGGAATTATGATTAGACTATCATAGAAATATATATATCTTCTTAATCAGAGGCAGAACTGAAATATTTTTTACAGATGAGAACCTATCTCAGTTCGGAAAAAAATGAGTAAACAAGTAGCACTTACAACCACGCTATGTTAGGAAATAAAATGTTTAGAAATAGAATACTGATGGTTTAATCTGCATAGTTGTAAAGTAACCTTATGTCGTGGTTCACCATTTCATTAAAAGCGAAGAAGTAGTAAACCTATAAAAGGTCAGTTTGGTACAAAATTGTAACCATTAGGACTTATGTTAATTGAGTTCCATAAATTTTAGGCTCCTTAAAAAAGCCACATTCAACCTATCTCTTCCATTAGACAATATAAGTTCTGTTTGCATCGAATTTACTTAGTACACTGAAGGAATTCATCCGTATTCAAAAAATTCCACTTTCTTCAGCACGTATAAATTTACATCTCATATCATAAAACATTTGATGGAAATAGGCAGACTAAACCAGACTAATTATAAACGCTTCAATTCAGTTAAGAACTTGAGAAGTTCATTTTGAAGTCTATCATTCACCACTGATTAATAATTATTTTTCCCTTAAAAACCATACCTTCGGTGATATTCTGTGATTCTGAGCATAAATAATGCCTTCATTTCATTTGAATACCCTCCTAATACCTTGAAACTTCAATAAAGAGCTAATAGTCGTGAATTTTGCTTCAAATCTGCTAGCCATTAGGGTGCTTTGATCGCAAAGATTATGAAAACCTAGCTATTCAGAACAAAAGATGCATATATTTCAATTTGAAAACACATGTTATAGTGATTACATAATGACTTTGTTTCATATTAAATATGGTAGCACGGGACTGAGCTATAGATTCTGTAATTTTATAAAGCAGACGAAAACACAAAGTCCTGTAAATCCCCATCGAAAGAAACAAGTTGAATCTCGTTACTGTTTCATTTTCTTTCTAGAAATACAGGATAAATAGTATTTCTTTTTGTCTTGAAACTGTTTTTTTTGTTAAACGTTTCAGGAAAAGATATTTTTATTTTCTGAATCTATTCGTAATAATCATAAAATGCAATAAAATATGGATTAAGTTTGCTATATATATATATATATATATATTAATCAAAATTAAAAGTCATTAGATCAGAAAACTGAATAATCTACAAACACGGATAAATACTTGAATAGATGCTTACATTACGTCCACATTGATCATTTATAGATCTCTCGTAAAAATGTATTTTCTCCTCTTCATTGCCAGGATAGTCCGTATGTGAATTCATCAGACAAAAAGTTGTAATTCTCTGAGATTCGCTTTTGCATTCACGTTTGTACCCAAATGTTTGCCTTCTGCGAAATGCTTTGAGTGATAGAAGATATCGAGATGGAAGAGGATATCTGAAATGTGGAAAGATTAGTGCTTTTATACTAGCGAAGAAAAGAGTTAGGCAAACATGGATCATGATTGTGAAGGCTTCGCACCACTCAAACCACTTTGGTATACATACAAAATAGTCAAATTTTTCGTTTAACGGGTGAGTAAGCTATCTATAACATTTGTGAACACAGAATTTTATTTTCAATAGTAGCATCACTGCAACTTAGTTAAAAGAACAAAATGAATGCGAAATAAAAATACTCAATGGAGGGGATGAAAAATTGGATATATTCTAAATAAATTCAATAGTAAATAATTTATCTCTCCACAAACATTTAGCCAGATATGTGTTCACTTTCAAATACCAAGACTGATTTACGATCAGGGTTATCCCTTTTGAAACACTAGTTTCAAAAACATCTTTTTTATTTCATTCATCTATTCCCTTTAATTAATTTTAATAAAGCAAAAATAACTGTTTTTGCAGAATAAAATGGCAGCTGATGAGAAGCCAACGAAATAAATGATGGTGCCATTTTATTCTGCAAAACCTTTTGTTCTAGCTTTATCCAAACATTCTGTTTAATGTATTCCGGTAAGATATTATGCATCACAATTTCAGTGTGTACTAAAAGAACAGCCACTAGTTCATAAACTCTGTTTCTGACCAAACTAAATGTATTGGTAATCCCTTCACTTTACTTCCGTTGCGTTTTCGTGTCATTCCATTCCAAGCAGGCGGTAAATCTTACTGTACGAAGTAATAAGTGTTCACCTGGTAAATCTCATAAACTAGAATTTGAATACATCATTGTTTTAATATATGTATGTGTTAGTCACATACAGGAAAGTTGCTCAACAGGAAAGATTTAGTGATACATTTTTAAGAATAAGGCTACAAACTTATTCATCACAAGAACAAAGGGTATAAGCAGTATGTAAAACATAATTGACCTTAGTGATGAGTAATGCTTATTATTAAGAGCTGATATAAAAAGGAAACAAGGTAAGACATTGCAATGATATAATCTAGTGGGAGAACTAAGTCAAATTGAAGTTAAATTTCATCTTACTGTAGGCGTCATATCGTAAACATGGTAGATAAATAAAGTAATGACTTGAACATACTTATTTTGCAGACGGAAAATGTTTTGAACTAATTTATTATTAGTCTGGAAAACCGTATGTATATTTGGCACAAATTTAATTAAAACATATTGAAGATACACAGTCGATACACCTGAATGTTGAGGAAAACTAACCCAAACTATTATCACTTCATAAGCTATGTAAACATGAAACGGCAGCAACAAGTAAACATATACCTTAAAAAATATTTATCAGGCTTAAATCTATTACTATTGCCTTAACAATATCTTCTTAACTTGGATACATGACACTGCATTTCATCATACTGACATCATAAATTTATTCGCAAATTATTCACAACACTTGGCTAGTTTAATCGTCTTATTAATTTTCCTAATTACTTTTACTTATCAAATTTTACCGCATGTACACTGGAAACTTGTTTTTGTTTACCGAATCCCAGAAGGACATCTTATAAACAAAGGGGATATTTGACTTCTGTGAAAACCTAATGCGATCAAATATCAGTCAGTACAGTTGTAATTTTTTAGGCAATCCACTCGCATCTTGGTTAAAGAAACAACTCGCTGTATGAAAACTAGAGTAGATTCTAAGTCTTGGGCTCATGTTAGAGAGTCAGCTGATTTAATGACCATATTGATAATGTCACCAGCAGAATTCAATCTGCAATAAAGACTGAACATTATGGGCACTTTTATTACATAATGACTTATCAATGTTGTTATTAAACTATAAAAGATGTTTAAAACTGTTTTGAACAAAGAAAGAACAAATATGTTTACAGGATAATCGGAGCTCTTTTTACTTCGTGGATTGTTCTCGACTTAGTGCATCCTAAACAATATTAAAATATAAGTTACGAAATTTCTGAACATACATTCCTCACAGTAAAGTCGAGTTATGGACAGAAAGTACGAGCAGCACAATTCTAAAATGAGGAAAGTAGACATTATTCAGCGTCGACAGCCTAAGCATATATAGTACAGTTAGACAAGAGAGGGAGACTAGAGTTTAGATTTCGCTTAGAAACAAGAATTGACTACAAACAAAATGGAAGATCGAAAGACAGTGAAGTGATACATAATATGCAATGTTCAAGAGAGCGGGAGTGAATAGTAAAGTAATGACACAGACAGACAATTATTTAAATTTCGAGACGTAATATTGAGAGAAACTCAGTAAGTAAAAATTAAAATTAAATGGTATGATACGCAACAGAACCAAACACAGAAACGCATGAACCAAACAGTAACAGTTACCAGGGTAGCGAGATATTTATCATTCTATCCTTTTGTATATAGACATTGAGTCAAAGGCTTTCGATAACAATGGCTTCTGTCAAACGAAAAAAACTAAGGTTTACATTGTATATTAACTATTTTGAAAGCCTGACTAATTTCCATTGCATTTCCCATGTCTTCAGAGTGTCTAGCAGTTGTACCTGAAACCACTTTGCTGCCTGCCATATGGAGACATAAGAATACGTTCAGAAAATCGAGTAAAAGCTCTCCTTTCAGTTTTTTCTATGCACTTGATACTGCAAGTGCAATTGAACTGGTAAATCCGGTTGGAACTGACATAATAATAATAATGTGCTTTATTCCAGAAACAGTACTAGTGGTACAGTGTGGAATCTTCAGCACATATCTACAATATTTGCATCCAATTTTATCAAACATTTAAAAGGAGTATTTCAAAAAATAAATATAAAGACAACAACAAAAAAACAAATCTTTAAATATTCCCGTTTATAATATTAGAACAAGACATATAAGCGAACAATATTGTTTTCAATTAGACCTTCTTCTAATTGAAAAAAACAAACACAAAAATAATGAAAAAATGCGAAAAAAATACCAAGAAGTAGAAAGGAAAATAAACAACATAAAATAATATCTCAGTAATGGGTAGTGGAAGCTATGATATGATTTTGCATGGTGACAGTAAAGCTGTATTCATACAAGAAGTTATGAAATGATATTTAAGAATGTTTATCGTCAAGATGCTCAGTTAATTTGGTTGAAACAACACTAAACAATCATAAAATAACATTTCAGGGTTTTTATTGTCAAGTCTAATGCGGTGTTTGTAGTGGTAGTGTGAGTAATCCTGCATAATACAAAATTTTAAGATGGTGATAATGGCGTTCACAACCAAGATTGTCAGTTAATACTGCCGAACAAAAAACAACAACAACCACAAAAACTAATAATGACATGATTGTTAATGACAGGACAATTTTGTACTACTCATAGTGCTAATATAGTCGGAACCAGTAGGTACAAAAAAGAAGGAATGGAGTAAAGTACAAAAATGGAAGCCAATGTAAATAATTTAGGTAGCTAAGTATGTTTAAGAAGGAGTTCACTATAGAATACAAAATAAGAGAGAAATAAAAGAGCCTAAAATTATGTTATTAACAACAAAGCAAGTCATAGGTTTCGCGCTTAACATTGTCTCTGTCACTTAGAACACGGGCCAAGTATGGTATCGTTGAGTTCCTGTACATGGTTGTACGAGCATAGATTATTTTATACTGATTTCTGGTTCTACTTGATGAGACACAAGGCGAGGGTTGGGAATAGAGGGGGTGTTGGGGGTCGGAGGGTATGGTTTTAGACCATTTTTCACATGTATTCAGATGCCTTTCAACTAATGTAATGACGAGCTGACTGAGTTTTACACCACTAGTCCTACTAACTACCTTCAACATCCTTCTCAGGATGGTGTGGTGACATGAGCACTCAACTTATTTTAATCGAGTTAACCAGCATACCCCTTTTCTAATTATACTATAAGTAGTCATTCTTATAACACTGAACAGTTTGTCTAATTACATCATTTTAGAATTATGTTGCTGTGAGAAATGTACGTTCAGAGATGCTGTGACTTACATTTTGATACTGTATTTGTTGAAAAGAATTCACGAAATAAGTGGACTTTGTGTTATACTGTAAATGTTTTTGTTTTCTCTTTGTTCACACTAGTCAAAGAAACTGGTTGTATGAGGTTTAAAATTATGTCAGACACTGAATAGCTATTTGCTTATGTAGTTGGTGCTGTCTTAATAAACTTATCCACTGTGGAATTAAATTCTCTCACACTGCCCAGATACTGCTCTTACAGTTAAGACTGTATGAAATTACCTCTATATATTTCATCCCACTTGAACAGCATAATCCTACTCTTTACAAACTATCGAGGTATTTAAATACACGTTTTAAATATCTTGTTTCAGTGACCATATCATGTTCATATAAGCAGAAAACTATTTATACTCTCTAGAGAATTGTGTGGTAACTCACCATGTATTTCTGCTTCTCATTTAACCAAACTATCTCTTTTTCCCATATAATATGAGTAAAGTAATAAATTCTAAGGATTATAAATAATTAAAGCTATTGGCTAGTTTGCAATATTTTATGCTGGGGTTTTTTGCAAATACTGAATAGAAACTAAAGAACACTAGTATTAGCATGAGTCAGGAACGAAAGATCAACGCATTCTAAAATGAAAATTTTTAGTTCATATACTGAAGTTTATAACATATAGGCAAGCCCTGGGGACACTAGCACACTCGTGTTCGAAAATTATTGTATGTAGGTAGAATGGTGACAGTGGAATACGTGGAACGTTGAAGTACTTCACTGTAGAAACACACAAATGTGAAAAATCCCCACAAAAGAATACATCACTTGATTAATATGAATCAACCTACAAGCAAATAATGATGGAGAAAAATCATACACTTTGAAATTGTTTGTGAAGTGACTAACCGGTATACCTTTCAAAACAATCACAGTACACGTATTCATTTCAGGTATCTCTCTAAAATAAAAGAAGCCTTAATCAGTGATTTTATGCACAAAACACCACAAAGCTTTTGTCTTTTATCCGGTAAAATATTGTA